TTTTTTTTTTTTTTTTTTTTTTTTTTTTTTTTTTTTTTATTACCTAGACTGATTATGATCCTTTTCATTATGTTTGAAAAGATCCTGCCCGCTAGGGATGTGTATATATATAATATCATATGCGTGTTTCGTGCACGCAGTAGAAATATATTGGTTTGTTTAAATGGTATACATGGAGTAGCGATGGGTGTGTGGGGGGAGAGACAGTGTGACGACCTGCCTTTTTTTCCGCCACTGCTGCTGAAACTACAATTGTACATACCCCATGAAACACGAATATTATTAAATTCGCCTCATACTCACGAATAACTCGTAAAGTAAAACGATAATAGACGTGGGATTATGATATGTTTTTTTTTTTTTTTTTTTTTTTTTTTCCCTTAGCCTGAAAGTGATGTGTTAATAAAACATACTCGGCACGGATGGAAGGCGGACGTTTTTTTATTCACTGGGATGTGGGGCTTCGTCCGTCTCCATTTTTCCGCCACAAGGGGTGATTTGTAAAAAAAAAAAAATTGCTCAGTGGTTATAAACAGTATTTACAACGCACGGGAGAAGCAGTCTCCACTCCGTGGATGTATTTTTCGTTTAATAAAATCTTCTGTCCACTGGCTTTGTATACATATACATATATACATATATATATACATATATATACATATATATATACATATATATACATATATATATACATATATATACATATATATACAGCTCGGGAGGATCACTTTTTGACCTCTCTCTGTTAACATTTTTTTGCTTTTTTTTTTTTTTTCAAGCTTGCTGACTTATCACATGGTGTGTGGGGCACTCGACATGAAAAAAAAAAAAAAAGCGATTCCTCTTGCACGTTACTCATACAGTTGCAAAACAAAGCATACGCATCATATAAACCACCCCCGCCCCTTTTTTTCCTCCATCCTCTAAATCGTTTTCCTTTTTTTTTCAGAAAAGCAAAAATTATCATCACAATGTTATTTCAGAAACACAGACCAAGTGTATTTCTTGTCATCACAAAAAAAAAGGAAAGCGGTAAAAGTATAGTTTTCCTCTCCTGGGGGAGTACCACTTCCGAGGGGGAAAAAGGGGATTCGTTTATTAAATATGCCTCGAGGGGGGGGGGGGGGTGACAACACACACACACACTTTTCATTTTTTTTCTACTCCTCTGTGTGTGATCAAAAAACGAGAAATTGGCTTTGCATATTATATGGGGCCAATTTCAAGCTGGATAATCAGCAAGTGTTCATTCTTGCAAGAAATTATTTCCGCTACGCTTTTGAAGTCTTCATAGCAGAACTCAAAAAAAGGTCTTGCGAAGGGGAAGAAGAGGAGGAGGAAGGGCAGCGGCATCCGTATGCGGTAGTTGTATATGTGCACACACAATCACTACACGTACAAATGTGTACGCGTTTTATATGATCAATGGGGTCACATAAAACTGCAGACACTTCACCCGTACCCTACCTCCAACCTCTCTTTTTTCTATTCGTTTGGTAAAAAAAAAAAAAAAACAACTGTGGTGGGCACCCCTCCCCCCAGAGCGACAGTATTACATATGCGCGACAAAGTATCTCCACGCAAGTATACCAACTTAGCTCTGTTATCGCTATATGTCGCTAGCTCACTGTGGGTCACTCGAGATAAAGCATCATCATCTCATCCTTCTTCTAATTAAGAAGCAAAATAAAACACACTATTATGCAATTCTCATTAGTAAGAAAACAAAAAAAAAAAAAAAAAAAAAAAAAAAAAAAAAAAAAAAAAAAAAAAAAAAAAA